TTAAGCCACCCATATAAACTCAGAATTCCTCACTTTATTATACTAAATAATTTAACTTTCTCTAAGTATCTTGCATCCACATCTAGTTACCAAGCCCAGGTTTGACTGCAAACTTTTCCTATAAAGAGCCAGAGAGTAAATAGTTTAGGTTATGGAGAACATATGGTCTCTGTTGCAACTACTCAATTCTGCCATCCTAAACCAGAAGCAGCTGTTAGGGAAATATAATTAAAAACCAAATCTCCTGCTGACTCAGAAAACCTCTCCACAAAGCAGAAGAAAAAGAAAATAATTTTATTATTGAATAAGCATTAAACCAGAACATGATGCTTATCACAGGGAATCCACTGAAAAGGTTTCAAAGACAGAAAGAAATCTCACCTTTTTACATAGTCCAGTAGATACACCCCATTACACACATGTTCTTAATTGATAACTATTACTCAGGTAAAAAGAGGACTTGACAATACAATTTGTCACACATAGGTCATCTTAAACCACCTGGTAACTGGAATGGCCACCGGTGTTAGCTAATTGTCTTTGTCCAAAGAAATAATAAAATTTCTCATATCTCTATGACAAGTAAGTAGTTATGATTTGGAGCCAGATGCCAGCTGAAGTCAGGCTCCTGCCCTCCCATGGAAACTGGGAGGTGGCACACCATCTTCCTTGGTGATTACATTTCAAAGAGACGGCTCCCAGGTTTTTGAGAAAACATTCCTGTGTTGTAAAACTGGCAAGAGGCTTTTAACAAAGGCTTCAAAAAATATGTTTATACATCTCAAAACGGCAGAAAGAGAAGTAACAATTACAGATTTTCAAAACTAAAAATGGGAGGAGAATTTCCTTTCCTCTTGTGCACCTGAATTAGATTTTAAATTTTTGACTCATATTCACCCATATGCAGCCATAGCATGTACATAAACAAGTATGTATAGCTATGTTTCAGTACAACTCTGTTATGGACACAGAAATTGAATTTCCTTTTTTTTTTTTTTTTTTTGAGACAGAGTCTTGCTCTGTCACCCAGGCTGTAGTGCAGTGGCTCGATCTCTGCTCACTACAAACTCCACCTCCCAGGTTCAAGCAATTCTCCTGCCTCAGCCTCCCAAAGTGCTGGGATTGCATGAACTCATGACTGCCACACCCGGCCAATTTTTGTATTTTTAGTAGAGATGGGGTTTTGCCATGTTGGCCAGGCTGATCTCATATTACTGAACTCAGGTGATCTGCCCGCCTCAGCCTCCCAAAGTGCTGGGATTGCATGAACCACCACCCCGGCCTGGCCTTTTATCTTTCAATCAAAATACAGATTCAACAAAATTCCTATAACTAGATAGAAACACTGTCATCTGTCCATCTGTGCAGCTTAGGAAGGCAGCAAAAAACTGTATCTTTATAAGCCAATTCAATGCCCTGTAAGGACAATCTCATCATAGCAATATTAAAGTTTTTTAAAAATTTAATATTTTTAATAACTTGACAGAATAATTCACTATGAGTCTGTTGATCTTAACTCAGCTGGAAACATTTCCTAGGCCTGACCCTTCCTCACTTTGCTTATGTATATTCACAGTTTTGTTATAGTCATAATGGGTATATATGTTCAATTTGGTATTCTTCCTTTTATGCAACATGATTTATCCAAATATGTTGTTTCCTATAGCATGTTTATATTCATCATTTTTAGTATATCACTAGAGTATATCATTTTGATATGCCATAGTTAGCTTCTTTCTATCTATCTATATTGTTGGGCTCTTAGCTTTATTCCAATGTTTTACTATCATAAAATAAACATTATATATACATATACTTTTTATTAAACATTATTTCCTCAGGATAAATTATATTACTTGGTCAGGGGTTAGGCATATTTATGATTCTTTCAATAAAATACCATTTTGCCTTTCAGGAAGACTGAATCAATTTACACTGCTATCATTAATGCATGAGCATATCTGCCTCCTGAAGCCTTGCAGGCTTTGGCTTTTATAACTTTTTTTAAAGTTTTTCTAATTTCTTTTAAGGCACAAAATGAAACTTCACAGTAGGTTTAATTTGCAGTTATTTTACCAACAAGGTTGACTGAATAGTTTTAAAATTGTGATTTAACTGACAGTGTTTCTTCTTGTATGAACTGTTTTTTAATCATTTGTTTAATAACGGTATGGTTACCTATTTATATGCACTCTTCATACTTTTTAGTTATTGAACTTTTGTCTTTATGTGCAAACCTTTTGTCCAGTCTTCTGAATTTTTAAATTTCAGCTTTATTGGTATTCATTCCATCAAAGATAAAACTATCTAAGTAATGGACTTATCTTTTTTTCATTTGTATTCCAACAACAATCAGCAAGTGATTTCCCCTAGTGCTAGTATTTTATATGAGTGTATTTATTTTAACATATATGTGTAAAAATATGTGTAAAACATATTTTTAAAATAGTATGTATAAAAACTACATATTATAAAACATTACATGTTTTATGTAAAAAATTATATGTGTAAAAACACGTATTTTAATATATATGTATTTTTATTTTAAAAGTATTTAACTCCCAATTTACCTGGTTTTTTTGTTTTTGTTTTTTCTGATTGTGGTGGAAAGTGTGGGTCTTTTTAATATTTTCATTATGGATATTTCTGTCTTCCAAGAGTTTCAAATTGATTACCAGTACATTTAATGTCTGCTAGGACAAAATGACTCTTTTTGAATCTGAAATACCCTTTGATGTTCTTGCCCAATTATTTTTTCCATATACAATAAAAATTATATTAATTTTATAAAGCATCTTGTTTCTAATTGGTGGCTGGCCACCTGAATCCTATATGCACTGTGATGAGTTGAGGCTGAGTTGCATCCTTGGTAAGGCTCAATATGCATCAATTTTACTTCTGCTTTTTCAGGATTTTCAGCAGAAATCCTGCTGTATTCTCCATGCTCTTCCACATGGTGGGTCCTGAATTCTAATCTTTTTCTTCACAAGACAGCTGAAGGCTCTGTTCTGCTTCAGAGGTTTTCTGCTTCTGTGTTTAGACGCTACCTTGTTCATCCCTGGAATTTAATAGATGTCCTGTGGAGACCTTTCAAGTCTCCCATATCCCGGCTGGACTCTGGCTCCCAGCAGCGGTCTTCCATGGGTGCAAGGCCTGGGGTTATCAGTCTCCCACCCAAGCAGAGAATCAGCAAATGACCCCTGGGCACAGTGGCTGCAGAACTCAGCTCTCCCTAGCTGTGCTTCTCGCTTCTCTCTCTGGAGTTTCAGTTCCTTCAGTTCTTGCTTACTAAGAAGCCCTTTTCTGCCTTAAAATAGATGCCTTCTCTATTTTGTTCTAATTTTCTGTTTATTTTAGGAGGGAACACACTTTGTTACTAGCTAATTCATCTCACTTGGAAGCATAGGTTTATTTCACCTTAAACATTTTCTCCTACATTTTTTATATTTTAAAAGCAAAAAGTCTTGTTTATGTTTGACATATTTCTCAGGAAAGCCTATCCTGACTTCTCAGATTCAGTTAAGTAGTACATTTCATAGCACTCTCTACCTCTTTTTAGATGTTTATTGAAATTTTAGTTATTTAATTCTGTAATTTATTTTTTAAATGTTTCTACTTTTTATTTTTTTGAGACAGAGTCTTGCTCTGTCAGGCCAGGCTGGAGTGGAACCAGAAGGAGAATAATGGTAAGAAAAGCAATAAGAGAAGATACTTGAAACTGTAAAGCCTTCTGTGAAGGCTAATTCCAGCTGCCAGTCCGGAATTAGAGCTCATGGTCTCTGCTCTCAGATCAATCAGATACCATTTGCCTGAACTCTAAAGATCCAGAGAAAAGAGATGCATTTCTTCAGCAATTAGCAGTTTGACAAGACTTCCAATTTTGATACTAAGTTGAAACAGTTAGTTCTTAGGCTAGAAGTAGAGACCATTCTAGTTATATGGGGAGAAAACATGAAGCCAAGTGGCAAGGAGATGGACTTGAAGGATGGAAAGATACTATTCGGCTGCAGACAGATGGAAGGTAGGATTTCTAAATAACTATAATTATTTATTGGTTAATAGTTTGCTCCTCAAGAAAGCATCACAACTTTAATAACATGGGTGTACTGTACTCAAAACTCGTGTGTCTTACTCCTGAAGTAATAGAGCACAGCAAAATAAACTGAGGAACAACATCCTTTAGTAACAACATTGGAGGCAGCAAGTCCGCAGTGGACACTGTAAATAAGAGCCCACCTAACCTAAGTAAAATGGTCTTTTCTTTTTGAGATAGGGTTTTGCTCTGTGATCCAGGCTGGACTGCAGTGGGAAGAACATGGCTCACTGCAGACTCAGCCCCCTGGTCCAAGCGATCCTCCCACCTCAGCCTCCCAAGTAGCTGGGACCACAGGCATGCACCACCATGCTGGGCTAATTTTTTTGTAGAATAAAAATAGACAGGGTCACCATATGTTGCCCAGGCTAGGAGTCCTTTCTTGTTCTAACATGGCTCACTAGAATTCTGCACTGGGACAGAGCCAAAGTCCAGGCAGTAACTGCATTACTTAACCTTGCTTTGTTCTCTGGGACTGTATTTCCTTCAGGTATCCTATAAATTGCAGCAATAGAGCATTTTAATTGCCTTGTTAAAGGTAGATTAGGATCTTTACATCTCATATTCTAACCTCATATCTATCAAGAAATATAGGTGCCTTATTTTGACATGACTTATAGGTGGAAACATGCAATGAAATACTATGCAACCATTAAAAATGATATGTAAAATATTTAATGACATGAAGAAAATGATACACTGAAAAATAATACTGATTATTAAACTACAAGATGATCACAGTTTTTAAAACTATAATTCTATGTACATAATAATAAGGAAAAAATACAAAGCAGAATAACTTAGTCATTAAAATTGTGTTTGCAGAAAAAAATAACACCACAAGAGAACAACTTGAAATGTTAAATGAAAAATGATAGAAATAATATTATATGATTCATGACTGAACAAAATGTGATTTTGACTTTGTTGAATTTGGATGGAGAAGAAACTGGAAGGGAAAACATGAGAAACTGGCAGTGGTTTTCCCTCAGTGCTGGAATTACGAGTGAGTTTGGTGAGTTATTTTTCTTTATAGTCTTCTGTCCTCTTTAAATGTGCATGTAATTTATTTATAATAACGCAAATACTTCTTAAATGTCTGTAACTCTTCACAAGTGATGCTTCAGGAGAAATGAGCTGTTAAGCATTTTAAGAATTTATGTGACTCTAATATACTAGAGGAAAGGGATAGATCTGAAAGGCTACCATCAGTAGGAGGAATAAAACTTATTCTGTGTCCTCCATAGGTCTGGACAGTGATCAGTAGATAATAGACATAGAGGAACTGATTTCAACTTTTGAAAAAAAAAAAGTTTTCCAGTAAATAACGCTGTCCTACAGTGGAATAGGTTTCCTCAAGATGCTGAGTGCTGAAAGTGATCAAGCACAGGTTAGAGGGCTTCCTGCCTGGGAGCAGGGGAAGGCTGGGGGAGAAGGACAAGGGGACAGTGGAGTAGGGGATCTCTAACATCATTTTTACTGCTAACATTCTATTTGTGCATTCATTTGCTCAATCATCCAACTTCCAAGATGGCCCCCAATGAGCCTTGCCAGTGTGTATTCAGGCCCTTGTGTAATTCCCTCCCGGATTGAACAAGCTGATCCAAGTAATCAATAGTATACTTCAGAAAAGATGGTGTATTGTTGAGAAACATTAAGTTTAGCCTCCCCCAATGAAGTTACTTTTAGGTTGTTATTAGCGGTAGGTGGGTAACAGCTGCCTACCTGGTATATTCCTGAGTTATGTGAATATGTAGAACACCTGTGTATTAATAAGAATCACCTGTCAAAGAGCAAATAAATACGTGGATGAAGCTCTGCTCAGGGCCTTCAGCCCTGGAAAGCTGTCAGCCCCACGGGCTGTCAGGCTGTTGGTCCCCAGGATAGGTCCCCTCTGTTGTGTTATCTGAGTGTCTGCCTCTTAAATACCTTCAGCCTGCCTGGGTGGGAGTCTCCCGACCGAGCTGGTTCTCGGTAGTGTATGACTTCAGTCATAAAGACTTGGTGGCTTCTGCCTTGCTCTCTTGAGTTGCTCACTCTGGAGTAAGCCAGCTGTTGTGTCATGAGGTAAAATCTGTTATGATGTGTTCCATAACAGAGTTGAGGTAATATTCTGTGATTCAGTCATTTCAGCTGAACTATTGACAAGTTTATCTTAATAAGGTGAAATCCCCAGCTATTAAAGATGTGTAACAGTAGCCTCTCCACTTAAGTAGTACAGTTTAACCTGCCACAGTTTGAGGCCTTAACATGTTCCAGGAAGAACAATGTCATTTTGGCTTTAAGATGATGTATCTTGTTTTTTTCTGATAGAAAAGAATAATGTGCTTTTTATTCTCCTAGAGATCTGGTGTCTATGAATAGTTGTAGCTGTAACTGTGACATTTACCACACATTTCTCAGCTTCCATCCATCAATTTGCTCAGAAAAAAAGGTATGCTACAAATTGCAGCGACAGAGCATTTTAAAAAGGTAATTTTCAGCATGTTAGCACCTGAAAGGGAAAGTTTTGTCTGCTTAAACAAGCCAAAAGCAAAGACAAAGATTGCACATTGTTCTTACAGATTACTTAAATCATCTCTTTGATGGTGAAAATATTTTTAACACCTGAAAGTTATGAGATATTCTGGGTAAGCCTGATTATCAAAGAATACCACAAATAGCCTTGGATATAGTGTATTGTCTGTCACCGAGTCAAAGAGATCTGTGGCACTGTGAGGATTCTTGGGTGGAGGAGTAACTAATTCTGCATGTCCCTGCGTGTAGACTCCAGTAAGTACTCGCACAATGTACATGTGCTTTCTCCCACTGCTGTCTGGCCTGGAGTAGGTGTCCTTGGCAGAATAGCTGGCATCCACAGCAAAATAGGTTCCTTTTCCATAGGTTACAGCTGGAGAGAGAAAGACCAAAATCTTCCTAAGAATATAAAATTACACAATATGTAGAATCAGGCCCAATCCAACAAAATTTTTCTAAATGCAGTTCTAGCCAGGTGTGTTGGCTCATGCCTGTAATCACAAAACTTTGGGAGGCCGAGGCAGGAGGATTGCTTAAGGCCAGGAGTTCAAGACCAGCCTGGCTGGTCTTTATGAGACCATTATGAGACCCCCCCAATACAAAAATAAAACAAAATTATTAGCTGGGCATAGTGGTGCATGCCTGTAATCCCAGCTACTCAGGCGACTGAGCCGTGGGGGATCATTTGAGCTCAATAGATCAAGGCTGCAGTGAGCCGTGATCCTAGCTGCTGCACTCCAGTCTGGGTGACAGAGTGAGACAGTCTTTAAAAAAAAAAAATGCCTCCCCCCTAAAAAACTGCCCATTAATGTTACTTTTCATCATTTCTAAAATTCACTCCATCTTCCCTCAGAAGGTTGCAGTCTCCTTTAAGGTGAAACACAGCGAGCTCTATTCTGACGATGATAATATGGCTGCCATCCATGGCTCCACACTGCTTGGGTATGAAAAGTGTGGAATTATCGTTTACCTCCTTCTGATCAACCAGATTACTCGCTTCCTTACCATTCTTCCCAGCATAACTTCGATTAAAGCCGTGCTGATTGATGTGGGGCACTGAGTCTGCATCTGTCCCATGGAAGAGGAGTCTCTCATTATTCACATGGCCATTCTTGATATCCATGTGCTTTTTCTTTACCTGGTAGCTCTGCCAAAGAAACGCATTCTGTATTCTCTCAATCTGCAGATGACAAAAGACAAAATATTTCAGAAATGACCTTGGGGCTCAGTATATTAGTATTTGTTGTGGATTTAAAATAAGCAATATGAAAAAGAAGGAAGACGAGTTGGTGAAGGAAAAGGAGAAGAAAATACAAATAGCAAATTCAGAGAGCAGGCAGCTTTCTGCCTTTAGAGAAAGATGAGCTAAAAGTATCTATTAGTATCTGCGCTTTGTAATAGTGCTTGTTAGTATATATTTTAAATAACAGAATATAGTTTCTATCAAAATGATTACCAGCATATTCCCCGGAATTCCTGGAGATTCACTGACATTCAAACACCTACTCAAAAATTTGTACTCATTCAATAGCCATTTCCTGAACTCCGTCTCATCTTCCAACCTATTCCATGTGGCTTCTCACAGCAATTCTTTCTGTTATTGCTCCAATTACGGTCACAAATCACCTCACAGTTACCTAATCTTATGACTATTTTTTCTAGACTTCTGAATAGCACTTCAAACCATGAGCCATCCTCTTCTTAAAACTCTGTTCTTTCACTTCTTTTCAAAATATCACTCTCTACTGGTTCTCCTTCCTCCTAGGAAACGGAGTTAACATCCATTCGGTCATCATCATTTACTGAACATCATTATGAATTAAGTTTGTGTTGGGTCACTGCCTTCGTGAAACATTCAGTCTAATGGGGTGGGGGAAAGACAAGAAAACTAATCACTACCCCACAGAGTGATAAGGGACGGTCAGGAGAACACACACAGAGCTATCAAAGTATAACGAAGGGCTCCAGATAACCTGTCTGGGGAAGGAGGAGGAAATCTGACAGAATGATGTTCTGGAAACAGAGGGAGAAGGGAGGTTGAAGAAGAATGGGGTGGGTACCTGGGCAGCTGTTGAGGAGCCAAGCCATAAAAGCAGAAGAGAAAGTTGTTCTGCTCAAAGTAGCGGAGGTCTCCAGGAGAGTAATGAAGGTTTGCAATGGGGAATGTGTGAGGGGGTTGACTGGAGGAAGCAATGAAGGATCCCAGGCAGCCTGGAGGGTTCAGCTGAGGCTGGGGACCATGTATTAGTAAGGATTTCATCTAGAAGCAGTGGGAGAGAAGGTAGGTTATGGGATTAATCCAAAGTTGGATTAATTTTCAAAAGAAGTATGAGCCAACAAAGTAGCAGATATTGGGTAAACACAATTGAAATAAGGTTCTTGTACTTCTTGTACAGTCATCTCTCAATATCCATGGAGGATTTCTTCCAGAGCCCCCACAGATACCAAAATCTGAGGATGCTCAAGTTCCTGATATAAAATGACATAGTACTGTATTTGCATTAACATATAATCTACACATTCCTCCCATATACTTTCAATCATGTCTAGATTCCTTATATTACCTCATACAATGTATTAATAAATGCTATGTCAATAGTTGTTATATTGTTTAGGGAATAATGACAAGAAGAAAAAGTCTGTACACGTTCAGTATACGCAACCATCATAGGCCTCACCCCACTTTCCATCCGAGGTTGGTTGAAATCATGGATGCAGAACCTATGGAATCAGAGGCCTAGGACTGTAATCCCAACAGCTTTTAACACCACGAGGCTTCTCCTCCTTTAAATTCTGTGTTTTATGTAGGATGTCTCTATCTTCTGGTTTCCCCTTCTCAGGAATTAAGTTCATTTATTCATTCAAATTTACTCAATACATATGGTGTCCTACTATGGGCTAGACTGCTTCCTAGGTAATGAGAATGAAGAAATGAACAAGATGTGACTCCTACCTTAAGCAGCTCACTGTCTAGTCCAGGAGCCAGGCATGTGAAATGTTATCAAAGTACCTTATAAGTGCTGTAATGTAACTGTATACTTACAAAGCACCATTTTACAAGTGCTCCAAGAGGTAAGTACACAGCTCTATGGAAGAGGTAACAAGATTTTCAATTACTAGGATGTCACACCCTGCTCTGATATACAAGTATAATGATCACTGACAAACCCTTATACTTTACTGACTAATATTTTTATGCAGCATAGTGGGCATTGTGGTAATCTTCTAAACATGGATTCCACCCCATCAGCAACTTCTGATTTGAGTGGGATTGGCCCTACTTATAGTTCTAGGGTGGAGTCTAATTGAGTTAAACCAATCAGGATTTCAAAATGAATCACACACTGATGGGATCTGATAGCTCAGGCCCAAGCCAACCAGAACAAGGTATTCCCTAGACACAGAGATGGTTGCAGTGGTTGGGATTCTTGTCCACTAACTGTGCAACAGGACACAGTTGTGTTCTATGGGTTGGGAATGAGAAACCAGAGACACCCTAATCGCTGCCGGCAGTTACCCAACAACCACAAGGAGAGTCCAGCCTTAAGAAAAGCCAACACTGAGGACAGCAAAGCTGGAGAAACTGGATCCAGGACACCATCAAGCTGCTGAATCAGACTTCTCCAAAGCCCATCCTACTTCAGGACTTTCCATTAATTTCCAACACAATTCTCCTTGTTTAATCAGTTTGAGTAGGCTGGTTTGTGACTTGCAACTGAAAGCATCCTAACATAAACATGAGACTTGGAATCTCCTTCATTACTGCTAAGGAATAAACCATGAGATTTCAAGTCTATGGAGCTTGAGTAAGTCTAATTCCAGTTAAACATAGGAAGTAAAATAAAGGAAGGAACGGTGTTATTTAAAATACAGCTTTTATGTTAATTCACCAACATATTTAAACAGTAAATTTTAACACAGCATTACCTTCTCTATTGTGTAGGAAGAACAAGTTTGGGTGAACTTGTCCTTTATGGTATTATATTCTGATTGTCCTGGGTGTAGCTGGACCATGCAAGACAGCTGATGATTCATGTCAGTCCAGTGTTCAGGAAGATTATCTGGAAAGTCAGCATTTGGTCAAAACACAACATTCATTTCCAAAGACCTCTGAAAATCAGGGCACCTCCTATGCTCTTGTCTCTTGTCATCCAACCGTGATCTTTAAAGTAGAAGCTACACATCTCATGGTTGCTTCTTTTATTATCCTCAATTGAGTAAACCCAGATGAAGTGAACAGTCTGACACCAATGTGACACGCAATATATTAATGCTCTAGCTAAAATATTTAGATAAGCTTACATCCACTGTAGCTTGAAATTGTAATTTTCCCAGAGAGTTCTGTAGAATTAATTTAGTAAGAAACTGATATGGAAACGTGAATGTCAATTTATGGATGCTTTGTTTTATTAGTATTATTTAATGTAGTTCTCTTCTATGTTTTTGAAACATGATTACCCTGCTAAAGATATTTAAAGCACATTGTTCTGTACCCCATCTTATACACCAAGCAGAGAAAGCACCATGTAAAACATGTAAAAAAAATAGCAGATGTGCTAAGAGAATGCTTTCCCATCAGGTGATCATTCCGGGTTTCCTTTGCTTTTCAATGGTTTCCCAGAACTTCTAAAACACCCAAGCTAGACGTCAACTTGCTAAGATAGCAGAAACAGTATGAAAAAGCCCACAAAATGACACAACTCCACAGGTAAAAATCAAAGGATTTTTTCCTTACAAACAAAGCCACAGTTCACTCATTTTTAGTGAAAGATCTACCTGGCCTGAGAGAGGGATCCAGGACACCATCTTCCTGTTGAGCAAGTCCATCCAGGGTAAGTTCTGGTGACACAGGGAGGCATCTAACCCTAATCAGTAAGCTCTTTTCAAAAGTTGTTCTGGCAAACTTTCCCACCAATAAGGGTGCATGGTTTCTGAAAGCTACATTTCTTCCTTTCCCTGACACTGTCCATCTCCTTCAGGATCTTTCCGCCTAATCATTTCTAGTCTGAGGCCTTACGGTCCTTTTGGATCTGCTGCTTTCTTTCCCCTGAATAGAGCAGGCAAGGCTGCGAAAGAAGGAAGTGAAGGTTTTTGACAGGCCTTCTATTCCTTTCATGCCCTGAGGTTGGAGAGCAGGAAGCTATCAGGACTTGGAATCAGAAGACCAGATCAGCCTCAGCCTGTGACCAGCCATATGACATTGAACACATAACACCACTTCTGGGTGTTTAGTTTCTAATCTGTGTAATGGGAATTATAAGATCAACTCTATCTACCATCTCATGGGATTGTTGCAAAGTTAAAATATAGTAAGGAGCCTGAAAATGCTTTAGGGAGTGCCTTTGTAAACATGGGGTTATTCTTTTTTTTTTTTTTTTTTTTTTTTTCTTTTTTTTTTTTTTTTTTTAGAATTCTTAACTGCTTTAGAGCATGTTTTATTTTCACTCCATTTTTATATGCAATGGGTATATAGTATACTTTCTGAGTGGAAGTAAAGTAGAACATGAACTCTCTGAATTCAAAATAGAAAAAATTTCACATATTCATAGGTAAAAAGCACAAGAATTGTACATGTAATATGAAAATATAGGGACATCCACATTTAAAAAGGCATATTTGTTAGTAGGAAAGTACAGTCTATCCCCCTGAAAATTCTAATCGATCACATTTTATGACAAATTCTCCTTTCTCCCTGACTTCATGAAAATTCACCATATGTCTCCTAAGTCAGAAACCTTATTTTCAGAACAATATATTATTTCTAAGCTTGTCTGAAGCACAGTTTTTCTCATTAGAGAAAATGTATATCATTCAATTATAAATTAATTCAATTTTTATGAGATTTGAAATCTGATAGGAGAAATACAAATTGGTTGATAATGAAAATCTTACAGCATTTTCTTGCTTTCCAAGCAAATAATTTTGCAAAAATCCTATATGAAAGCGTAATTATCAAGCTCTTTTCCATGAGCATGTGGCTACTTTTAATTTTCAACAAAAACAATCTGATTTTTGTTTTATTTTATTTTATTTTATTTTTTTTATTTTTTTTTTTTTTTTTTGAGACGGAGTTTCGCTCTTGTTACCCAGGCTGGAGTGCAATGGCGCGATCTCGGCTCACCGCAACCTCCGCCTCCTGGGTTCAGGCAATTCTCCTGCCTCAGCCTCCCAAGTAGGTGGGATTATAGGCACACGCCACCATGCCCAGCTAATTTTTTGTATTTTTAGTAGAGACGGGGTTTCACCATGTTGACCAGGTTGGTCTCGATCTCTCGACCTTGTGATCCACCCGCCTCGGCCTCCCAAAGTGCTGGGATTACAGGCTTGAGCCACCGCGCCCGGCCTTTAACATAGGGTTATTCTTAACCAATTAAGCTTGATATTTTTTACATCTCAGAGGTATTTCTATATTATTATTATTATACATTTACCCAGTCTGGAATGCAGTGGCATGATCATAGCTCGCTGCAGCCCTGACCTCCTGGGCTCAGGCAATTCTCCCATCCCAGTCTCCTCAGTAGCTGGGACTACAGGCACATGCCACCATGCCTGGCCAATTTTTTTTGTAGAGATGGAGTTCTGTCATGTTGCCTAGGCTGGTCTCGAACTCCTGGGCTCAAGCAATCTTCCCGCCTTGGCTTGCCAAAGTGCTGAGATTATAGGCATGTGCCACAGCGCCCAGCTGGTATTTGTGTATTAATAGAATAAAGAATAAAGCCAAAGGTATTTTCTTGAGAGAAAAGACATTTAAATCACACGCTTAAGCTACATCAAACATTGCTATCTACTCTGTTGTCTATGTAAAAAGGGTAACCCTGGCTAGAAAATTTAGAGGAGAGAAAACAGAGTCCCAGGAATACTCACCCAGCATCACATGGAAGGTCATTATCAAACTAAGGAGCACTGTTGACTTGCAGCCCAGGGCTTCACAGAAAATAGCATGATAACTACCCTTTTAAGTGTTTCCATGTGCTAAGCATTTTCCTGAGCCCTCTTCTTATAGAGCTTTTTGAAAAGATGAGCGTTTTTTAAAACAGGGGTCCCCAAGTCCCAGGCCACAGACTGGCACTGGTCTGTAACCTGTCAGGAAGCAGTCCGCACAGCAGGAGGTGAGTGGTGGGCAAGAGAGCAAAGCTTCATCTCTATTAACAGCTGCTCCTCATCATTCTCACTACCACCTAAGCTCCACTGTCAGATCAGCGGCAGCATTCGATTCTCATAGGAGCTCAAACCCTATTGTGTACTGTGCATACAAGGGACTTAGGCTGTGCACTCCTAATGAGAATCTAACGCTTGATAATCTGTCGCTGTCTCCCATCACCCAAGATGGGACCTTCTAGCTGCAGGAAAACAAGCTCAGGGCTCCCACCAATTCTACATTGTGGTAAGTTGTATAATTATTTCATGCTATATTACAGTGTAATCATTAAAATAAGGTGGGCAATAAATATAATGCACTCGGATCATCCTGAAACCATCCCCCTTCACAACACCGTCCATGGAAAACTTGCCTTACATAAAACTGGTCCCTGGTGCCCAAAAGGTTGGGGACTACTGTTTTAAAAGATAAGCTCTACTTTCAAATTTCTGGTGGTTCAGGATAAATACCCTCACCTGTGGGGATGGGTTTTTTAAAAACCAAGATCCCGGCCGGGCACTTTGGCTTACTCCTGTAATCCCAGCACTTTGGGAGGCCAAGGAGGACAGATCATTTGAGGTCAGGAATTCAAGACCAGCCTTGCCAACATGGTGAAACCCCGTCCCTACTAAAATTACAAAAATTAGCTGGGCATGGTGGCTTACACGTGTAATTCCAGCTACTCAGGAGGCTGAGGCAAGAGAATTGCTTGAACCTGGGAGGCAGAGGTTGCAGCGAGCCAAAATTGTGCCACTGCACTCCAGTCTGGGTGACAAAGTGAGATTCAGTCTCTAAATAAATAAATAAATAAATAAGATCCCTGGCCCTGCCCCCTGTCTTCCTCTCCTCACTGTTTATTCTCCTGGATAAGCCAATCACACTTAAGGGCTTCAATCCCACCTACTCACATGACTTCCCAAATCTCTCTCTAGTGTCTGATATACAGGTGGTGCTCAATAAATAATCTGACTCAATAAATAGCTTTAACATACATTTGAAAAGTAATTATGTATCATCTGCACAAATGAAACTCAAAGCTATTCTCTTTAAGTTATTTTTGCAAAGGGGCTGTATGATAAATTCTTACTAAAATTCCAGTTTATCTGAGCCAACAAACTTCCTTTTATCTGATATTTCGTCTGTATTATTCCTTTTCTCTAACAACTAAGATGACGTAATGCAGTTTGATTGTGGTCTGTTTTCACTTCAGGTGCCAGAAGTTCAGGCTGAAACCAGTCTTTCCCTGCACTGACACCCCTGCTGTCTCAAGGGTCAGTTGTATGTTCATTTTAGTCAGTTTGCATCTCTCTTCAGCTTCACTGTTTTGTTTTTTAAATTTGTAAGTCGGTTTAAAATCTTAATGAAAGCAAGGAGTGATGAAAACCAGTTAAACTTTATTTTTTGCTTTACTGATAATGACTTAATGTTCTTAAATTTAATAAAAATTTTCTTCTACAAGGACGAAAGGAAAAAAATGTGAGTTTATATATCCCTAGATACTATAGTAGGTACATACTATTTTTAACTTCCCAATAGCCTTTTCTCATCTTCTGGTAAAAGCCTTCTGAATTTTCTTTGGGGAGCAGCTATTCCCCATTGCTTTGGATGGTGATTCCCTCTCGCTCAAGTATGGAGCATGTGACTCTGCCTTGGCCAATCAGTGTAATTATGGTTCCCTGCCTGCAATTGTCCAATCAGAAAGACTCTCGGGGTTTAAAAGAGCTCTGTTCCCTGGCCTTATTTCCTGATGGTAAGTGTATATCTCCACTGGATAGACTCTTTCCTCGTGAAACTGACTGTGGAAGAATGTGGGCCTAAAGCTGCTAGCATCCATCTTTCACAATATGAAGACTGAGGGAAGAGACAACACAGGTAAGAAAAGAATAAGAGATGAAGAAATTCAGGGTCTAGATATTATTATATGAGCACTTGGATCAAACTGTACCTGAAGCCAGGAATGCATGGGCTTTATAATAACATGGGTCAGGGAATTCTGTTTTTTGCTTAAGCTAGTGTAAGTTGGATTTTCTATTATTTGCTACTGCAAGAACCTTAACAGATCCAACTATTATTTTCATATTTTTATTATACGTGTGTCTCCTACATGTATTGTATGTTGTACTACACTGAGGAGAATACTTGTTAGGAAATAAATGTAGAGAGAACTGACATTCCTCCTGACAGTAGCAGACAACAATTCTCAGTTTAGGGAGGCTGCTGATGGCAGGTGTGCCTTATCACTAGCAAAAGTCAGTGCTTTAAGGGTGAGTGCTCCAAATGGGTGAAAATAGTGATTGCAAGAGGAGACTGCAGTCCTAGTTATTTTAATAGGAGTACAAACGCCACAAAATAGGGGAAAACTAAATCAGAGGAACGTGTCAGTACAAATACTTAAAATATAACACACCTTACAGAGTAGCAACTGGGGATCTGTCTGGCTGCTTATGCTGTAGTACAACCAGCTGACCCGAGCCACTCCCTTCTGACACCTGATTCTATTCCAGGCTAACCTGTCTATAGGTGGATGATTAATAGACCAATATTAATCAGCTAGTTCACAGCTACAAGAAGCACTGAGGGTGAGTACCAACCAATCAATAAATATAAGACTAATGTGGGAAAGGAGAGAAGAAATTAAAGTTTTCTTCTAAGTAAACCTCCCTGGGTCCTTCCCCCTCCCATGGGATTGCATCCTACTTTTTAAGTTTTATACGTTTATAAATTCTTGTATTCTTGTTCTCTATAGCTGATAACTGTAAGTTTTTGTAACACCGTGAAGGTCATAAGAAATGCCCAAGCAGACAGGAATCCAGCTTTCTGGGCACTGTAGCAGAAGGCAGTAGATAAGGCCCGTGCTAGAATCCTTGAGCTCTACAGATAGCAAACATCTGGGTTGCATAGTAACAGTCCTATGTAAGCCTAATTAGGTGCCTATCATTGCTTAATGAATTGCCTTTTTTTCTACACCTGCAAACTTGTTTTTAGCACCACTGTACTTCATGTATAAAAAGTCAAGCCCTGTCTTTGCTAGGCCCTCAGCCTTGGGATACTAATCCGCTGATCGGTGGCCACCTAAATAAAATTCTTCTGTTTCACCCATTGGTCTCTGTGGTCTCCTGAATATTCCGCAACGAGACCACTGGCTAAAATTTGCAAAGCCTCCTCCCCTCTTTCTGAATCCTCACTTCCATTCTCTTCCTGTTCATTTGCTATTCCTGTTCCCAGGCATGATTTTGCCTCTCAGGAAAATAGTTAATTGACAGGAGGTTGCGTTCCCTAATTTTTATACTTTTCCCATGGATCTTAAGAACTTGTATGAAAAGTCCTAAAATGAATAGAAAACTATAAACCCAGTGTAAATTCATACATAAACATTTTCTAAGTGATTGTCAGAGCCAGCTAGGTGATTTTTAAAAAATGAACATCTTACATGTAGTCGTGGAGAATGTGAATTGAAAGGTCGGTGATGCGGTGATGTCTCTCTTTCTCATGCTGTCATAGAATACATTTAGCAGCTCGGGTAGAAAGAGGACAACTTTAACTGTTTTTAATGATGGGGTGGAATGTCTCCATGAGAAGTCTACAATAGCATCAATTATGTTATCAGCAACTGTGACTGGGTTTTTTCTGGCGTTTCCTGAAAAAAAATTAATGACAAAAAGGAGTTTCAGCCAGTGTTGGTAATACGATGAAATTGGGCAAATGCAATTCTCAGTGCTGAGAAACAGGAAAGCCCCTGACAGGACGCTCACACCTAGTTGGTATTCTTTGGCTGAATACAAACAATTTCACAGTACATCATTGATGTAACCACTCTGTGACCATGAAGAATTAACACAAAAACAAGACTAGTCCATAATTATGTCTTATCACAGACAAAAACATGTACCCTGTCCAAATCAGAAAGATGGCCAAATGTTCCCGTCTTGACTAATAAAAGTGACAGCCGCTGCATTACCAATCATACATGTAGCCAGAATGCATCCTCCCTCCTTCTAGATAAGATATCCAATCATAGAATTACATCTGTTTCCTGGAAGTCTCTGATCCAGAGAAAAGCCCCACTTAGTTTAGACTGCCACAAAATCACCTAAAGCCCAGATCCATTAAGTCCTTTCTAACACTCTCCTGCTGAGATGCTGCAGAGCTCCCCATAGTGTGTGTTCCCGGTGATCTTTAGCTGATGGGCATTGGCGGTGCAGAGATAAGAACATGTGACCTGGATGCAGAAGAGCTGAGTTTATGTCCTGGCTCCACTATTTACTAGCTGTTTGATCTTAAGTAAGTAAGTTGATCCCTCTTGAAGTTAGCTAGGGCTGCAGTACAAAAAACCATGGACTGGTCGCTTAAGCAGGAGAAGTGGAGGCTAGAAGACTGAGGTCAAGGTATCAGCAAGGTTGACTTGTAAATGGGTATCTTCTGTGTCTTTTACGTGTTCTTCCGTCCATACCTGGCAGTGTCCTAATCTCTTTTTATAAGGACACGAGTGATATTGGATTAGGGCCCACTTTAATGGCCTCATTTTAACTTAATTACCTCTTTAAAGACTCTATCTTCAGACCGGGATCACAACTGTAATCCCAGCACTTTGGGAGGCCAAAGGCGGGCAGATCACTTGAGGTCAGGAGTTCGAGACCAGATTGTCCAATGAAACCCCGGTCTCTTCTAAAAATACAAAAATTAGCTAGGTGTAGCGGCAGGCCCCTGTAATCCCAGCTACTCAGGAGGCAGAAGAATCATTTGAACCTGGGAGGTGGAGATTGCAGTGAGCCAAGATGGCACCATTGCACTCCAGCCTGGGTGACAGAGTGAGACTCTGCCTCAAAAAAAGACCTTATCTCTAAATCTGAGGTACTTAATACCAGCGTTAGGACTTCAACATAGGAATTTTGGAGAGACACACTCAACCTATAGCACCTCTGCACTTCAGTTTGCTCAGCTAGAAATTGGCAGTAATAATTGAAGGTAATAGGTAATAGAGATAAGACTATGGTAGCTAAGAATAGGGTAATTAAGAATATAATGGTAGAAACCCATGTAATAAAAAAAAAAAAAGCAATGGTAAAAATTGTGCAGGATTTGGGACCAGGCTGTATGGGTTAGAATCTAGCTCTGTTGCTTACTAGCTATCTGACCTTGTGCCTTAATACTTCAAGTTCTTCATCTGCAAAATGGGGACACAGTATGGGATGGACCCAGGTTTTGAATTTATATATCTCAGAAAAAGAATATACAATTATGTATAACAGTGAATATTTAAAATCAGAAATCACAACAAAGTATATCTTTAAAAATGCTGAAAATTATATTCCTAAGGCAACTTTCCTTAGCTGTATCACGTAAATGTTTATAGCCACCCCAACATCACCCAGTGCAAGGGGAAGTATGAGATGTCAAAGTGGGGAAAACAGTAGTCTTAATCCATGAGGGCTAAAATATCCTACTTTTGAAATTTACCAAGTCAAATAACAAGGTGAAGACATTATTAGGGCTCCTCTCAGGGTCTTTTAAAAAGCCTGTGCAAGTGAAGTTCAATCGTTTAAGCTTCATTATCTTCACAATAAATTTGTCTTTGCTAATAGTTTCCATGTCGTAAGTATGAAGACCAAACTCCCAGTTTCCCTGGAGCAGAGAGGTTGCAACATGAGACTTACAGTGTTAAAACCAGGAAAGTCCTGGGCAAACTAGAAAGAACTGATCACCATTTTTAAGGTTACTATGATGAATACATGAACTATTACATGTAAAATACCTAGAACATGTAAGCACCCAATAAATCTTAGCAATTCTTAACATTACTACTACAACTAATGGAGTTATTCCAGCTACTCCATGGGAGTTTAGTGGTACTGTACTCAAAATAGATTGCATCTGGGAAACATTTCGTTTTCTTTCTTTCTTTCTTTTTCTTTATTCTTTTTTTTTTTCCTTTTTTTTTTTTTTTGAGACAGTCTCACTCTGTTGCGCAGGCTAGAGTGCAGTGGTGTGATCTTAGCTCACTGCAACCTCTACTTCCTGGGTTCAAACTATTATATTCTCACATCTTAGCCTCCTGAGTAGCTGGGACTACAGGTACCTGCCATCGCGCCTGGATAATTTTTTATTTTTAGTAGAGATGGGGTTTCACCATGTTGGCCAGGGTGGTCTCAAACTCGGTACCTCAAGTGATCCAACCACCTCAGCCTCCCAAAGTGCTGGGACTACAGGTGTAAGCCACCACGCCCAGCCTGAGAAACACTTCAAAAATGTCCGTTGAAGTCAATGGGGAAGAGAACATCCATGAGCACCTCTGGAGGCATCAACAAAATCAACTGTTATTCATTCCTCCATTCAACAAAATGTAATGGGCAGTGATTCTTCATTCAACATGGGGCAGAGAAGACATAAAGATCTGGTCCTTCCCTTTAGAGCATTTCACAAGGTATTCACAGTCGAAGAGGCATGGCACAAGCATTTCATGGCCTCCCACTTCCTCCTCTGGGGCTTTGCATTTACTCTCCTCCAACACTATGATTATTGGTTGGTTCTTCCGCTGACTTTTCTGCCCTTTCCCCACCACAGTCTATCTGTGGGCATTTTTCACTGTTCTGGTCTCAGCCCTCTTCTCTTTCTCAATGCAGTCCCTTGGCAGGCTCATTCCACCTACCCAGTTGCAACCCTTCCTACTGTGTGGCTGATCACACCTACACCTGTGGCCTCTACCTTGGGTGTCATTCTTGATAACTATGTCTTGCATCTGTTCCAAAATCATGAACTCCTGAAAGGGCCAGGGCTTACTCCACTCTATTGACTCAGTGCCAAGTAGCAGAGTGCTTGCCCTGGGTGATGGAAACAAAACAGTTTGGGTTTGAGAGCTGTAATTTGCCAGATGGTATAGGAGAGTCTCCAGATGGGGAGAAGTGCCTGAACAAAAGGAACAAAAAGTGGTAACAAAAAGCTTGTAGCATGTTCCTCCTGGCTTCCCTATTGCCACCAAAAAACAAAAGGTTGTAACAAAAGGTTATTGGTGGTAATAAAGGCGGTGGGGAAGCCAGAAAGAAGGTACTGCAAACATTGCAGGGTGGCCGTGGGGCTCATATAAGAGGGGTCTGGGATACCTGCAGGAGCATTCTGTTTTAATCTAGAGAGAAGAAGGAAGTCTATGGAGTTGAGCTAAAATGATGGTGGAGGCTCTAAGACAGGAATTTAATTGCTGAAAAACTCTTAGATTAATGGCAACCTGTGGCTGCATACTACTAATACTTCCCGAGTAAGAAGCCATCACTTCCATGAGAGTGACCAGGGCACATGGATGTGAACGAATCAGGAAGTGAGTGACCAATTGCACTGTCAACTAAGAAGAGCAAATGACTGGATGATATGACAGAGATGAGGAAAGTGTTCCTACGAACTGTGAGCAGGACAAACCTGAGCTTGTTCTCATGGGGAGTGACTGCCTCTTACTCATGACTTTCTCCCCAGTGCCTTGCACGAGCTTGGGTAATGGCATTTCAGTTCAATGAATGCACAAATGAGGAGCCAGCTAGGAGACACTGAAGTAAACCAGATGGGGGAGGTCCGGAAGTTCTGGAAACGAAAAGAAACGCTGGAACTCAACAATTCTCTGGAAGAAGATTCAGTAGGACTTGCTGACTGTGGGGGTCTGTGACACAACAAAGCAAGGATGGCAGGCCAGGGCAGCTGGGAGCGCCATGGCATCACTGAAGGAGGAAATGAGAAAGTCTGAGAGCTCAAGAGGAGTTTCTGTTTTCAAGGAAGGATCATAAGCTTCGATTCTGATGTAATGAAGTTTCCGGTAACAGAAAACTTAACCAGAGGAAATCCTGGAAAGAATGAGACATGCTGATTTACAGAGAGCAAATGAATCCCCCAAGGGGAAAAAACAAAGTGAGAAAACTATGAAGTTAAGGACCAAACTTGGAAAGATACTTAGGGAACATAAAGAAGAAAGGGCCAGACACAGTGGCTCATGCCTGTAATCCCAGCACTTAAGGAGGCGGAGGCAGGAGGATCGTTTGAGCCTAGGAGTTTGAGACCAACCTAAGCAACATGAGGAAACCTATCTCTATAAAAAATACAAATATTCGCCAGGCATGGTGGTGCACACCTGCGGTCCTAGCTACTTGGGAGGCTGAAGTGGGAGGATCTCATGAGCCTGGGAGAAAGAGGTTGTAGTGAGCTGTGATCACGCCACAGCACCCCAGCCTAGGCAACAGAGTGAGACTTTGTCTTGAAACAGTAAAGACAGAAAGAAGAAAGAGGCTTGGGCCTAGTAGCTGGTGGTGCCCTCTGGATCTAAAAGGTGGCCCCTCTCTGATGTACATCATTGTGGCCGCCTTCAGATGGACTCGGCATTGATCTGCTTAAGAGTGAGACTAAATCTAAGGGAATTTGTACCACTCAGATTTTATTATAGAATGATAAGCTGCAAACCTGTTCCAATGGCTGGAAGGGAAACTGAGGTGTACTTCCTCTGTTCACACTCTTCTAGAACACTGGTGACCGTTCTCCTGACATCATTTTCCCCAAGAACATGAATTATTATTTCACATGTTAAGCCTCCACCTTGTGTAATTATGAAATCTCCGTGAGGCTGTGCAGCTGGAAAAAGGGGAAGAAAAACAAACATGCAGCCTATTAGTTACTGGAGGGAACACGGGATTTTGAGAAATGAAAATAGCTGACACCAGTGAATGCTGCGAAGCCCAGCCTCCCTCGAGCCTGCTGGTTTCATTTACTGGACTGACAGCTTCATTTTCTTTACAATCAGAATTCTTGAACTCAGCAAATACACTGTTGAGTATTTTGGGTGCTATTCAAAAGCACTTTATCTGCATTAATCTGCTCAATCCTCAAAGCAAGCCCATGACGCAGGTACTGTTTTCCCCATTACACACATGACAGAGCCACAGAGAGAGGTCAGGTCAGTAGCCAAAGATTGCCTAGGACTTGAACGCAAGCAGCCAGTCTCCAGAGCTCTTAACCCCAACTCTGCTGTCCCAGAAGGGCAATGTTTATGCTCATTTAGCCACCTCTGTAGCATGGAGGTGTGAAAGGATGAAAACTTCTCCTCACTCAGGACCCTAGAGCTCTTCAGCACGTGGAAATTACCACGGCCATTTTAAGGCACTGCCTCTTTGGTTCAGACTGCTCTGAGTAAAGCTGGGGCCAGCAAAAAGGAGGAGGGGGAGAGTGGATCCCTGCCCATCCCACCCGGCCCTCCTGAGGAGCACCTGTGCCCAGGCACTCTCTAGGGCCCCTTGGGTGTCCCTCCCACTCTCCCCTCCCAGGCAGCCTCCTCAGGGTTTTTCAGCTTGTCCAGTCCACACTCATCCTCTGCTCCTGCCTTCTAGGCACAGCTAGGTCTCCCAGTGCTCAAACCCCTGCTAACGTCCTCATGTTAGTGATCAAGTATTATCTTCCTCCGCTTTCACTCCAGAAATTTATTCACTCCAGAGAAATTTCTAAATCAGAGAGCTACTAAGATAAAGAGTTTCAGGCACTGTAGCAGGTCAGCTTCGGTAATACATTGTCAAACATGGTGCACTATGACTTCTTCAAAGCACACTCATAGCTGACTGTCTACCCTACTCTGCAAGGGATATTTTGAAGGACAGATAGTTTATAATCCCCACTTTAGGTTCCCCAGTCAAAGTCCACACTCATTCATAAAAGGATTCGAAGTAGGCTATATGCAGATGTGCTGGAAGTGTAGAACAAGGTTGGGGAACGTTTGTACAGCATTTTACAGTTTACAGAACTTTTCACATTAATTGTTCCTTCTGATCCTCAAAACCACCTGTGGCACAGCTTTCCCACACTACTTACTAGTAGAACTTTCCTACTGATGAGAGAAGCAAAGCTCTTAGCAGTTAGACGACGTGCCTAGGGTCACTCAGTAAATGGCAAAGCCTGGATTGTTAGGACCCGGGCCTGGGTTCTTTTTACTACTCAGGAAGGAAGAGACAGATGAGATGGTGGGATAAAGAACCTCTCCCCCACAGCCTCCAAGTCCTTCCACCTGTGCCTGCTCTTCCAGTGAACCAACCTTCTTGCAAAGCTTTGCCTACTACTTACTCCACCCCCAGTCCTCCTGTACGTCCTCTCGTTGTATTCTCAGCCCTCTGATTTTCAAGTTTGTAGTGAAAAGTAACATGTGCCCATACCTAGTATAGCACATTCATTTTCCACAGCTGGTCCAGCACCTTCTAAAATAGCCTTTGACACACCTAAATAAGACATGTTAACGGTAAAACGCATCAGTTAGAATTCAGTAAGTGGTTACAGCTTTCATACATTAGACTTCTGCCCAATTCAACCATTTGTGCGCAATCCATTGACCATCCCCCATGTCCAACCAGCTGTTCTTTCTATAGCAACCTCCACCCAGTGGCTGATGAACAAACAATCTGATCTCAGCACCACGGAAGTCCCCAGGAGCTGAAAGCTTTACGTTCTCTATTTATACAGGAATCTTTTTGCAGTTATTTGAAATTTTTTGCATGCTACCCTTATTATTTTGTAAAAAATGAATGAAAATACAAAAATAAAAGTTCTGGCTGGGCGCGGTGGTTCATGTCTGCAATACCAGCACTTTGGGAGGCCGAGGCAGGCAGATCATGAGGTTAGGAGTTCAAAACCAGCCTGACCGACATGGTGAAACCCTGTCTCTACTAAAAATACAAAAATTAGCCAGGTGTGGTGCCATGTGCCTATAATCCCAGCTACTTGGAAGGCTGAGGCAGGAGAATCGCTTGAACCCAGGTGGCAGAGGTTTCAGTGAGCTGAGATAGCACCATTGCACTCCAGCCTGGGTGACAGAGTGAGACTCTGTCTCAAAAAATAAAAAAATAAAAGTTCTGATACTAAGGAGACGCATGAGTCTCAAAACTGTAATAAAATTGAACACTTTACTAAGTTCTTTGATTCCCTGGCCCCCATCAGTTAGGCAGCTGGTTTCAATACAATGACTCTTCCAGCCAAGGTTGTAGCTTCACCACTTTGGTCAAGTCTAACGACAGCTGGGTTAGGTAGTTAAAAACATGGACTTTACATTTTGACAAACTGGGTTGAAGTTGACTCCACTGTCTACTAGCTAATATGTGACTAATACGTTCCTCCTCGTTACACAAAGGCTAATATGGTACTTCCCTCACAGGGTTATTTGTACATTAAAAGAGATAATGGATGAAAAAATGCTTAGCACATAACCTGGCATGCAGAAAATGCTGAATGAATGTTAGTTGTTTTATCATTACAAAGATACGTATATCTCTTTATCCTTGATTATGAGGACATTATGAAATGTCTCTTTTTTAAAAAATCTTTTTTCAATTTATTTGTTCTGGTCTCTGTCTTTGCTGTGAAAATTTTCCTCGAATGTCAAGTGATCTTTGCCAGTCTATTCCTGTTTAAGAGTGAGCTTAGAAGCCCTATGTGAGAAGGCTTGTTGACCAGTGGGCTTCAGCATAAGGCGAGCAGGCAGCACCTACTGTCTGTTGTTCTGGGATCCATGCAGGGAGAGGGGCTGGACACTCACTGTTTGGTACAGAGACGCTCTCTTAAACAGTTTTCAGTCTAGCTCTTCATCTCACCTATGCCTGGTGCCTAAGTCCAAAATCCCTCTGGTTCTGTTTCTCTAGAGAATAAACCTCCCATCTCTGGCCAGGGAAGAGCGAGAAAAGTTACTGTTGTATAGGACGGGGGATCCAGTCAAGTAGCCTAATTGCTACTGATCTGGAATTTCATTCAACTGTGTTTTCATCTCTGTACTTGGCCCCTGCCTTCTCAGATACCAGTGGCCTCCAATTCCTGTGTCTCTGGGGCTACTGTTCTCACCTACAGGCACTAAATTTTCTCTACTCCATGGCAGTTACCACCCTGGCTAGCAGCTCCCCATCATTTAAAAATTTCTTATCTTTTGTTCATAGTTGTTTTCCCTCCAACATTCTTTTTTCTTGTGTGTTTATATCCTTTTCATTCCTTTACAGTTGTATTAATGGAATTCCAAAAGGGGGCAGGGATGAATGCACAGGTTCAATTTAGCGTGCTTCAAATAACTAAATGTTCTTTATATCTACATTTTAAATGACTGAAAAATGGAATGACCAATGAACTAAATGGATATTCTACAGATTCACTTCTGCGTACTATTTTTCAACTTAGAAAATATTTAAATTTTATTTATAGTTATGTTTTATCTTGCCCTTTTAATTTAAAAGTCAATGTTTTATAATATACAAAAGTTTAAGAGGGTCAGGCACAGTGGCTCACACCTGTAATCCCAGCGCTTTGGGAGGCCAAGGCAGGTGGATCACCCGAGGTCAGGAGTTCGAGACCAGCCTGGACAACATGGTGAAACCCCACCTCTACTTAAAAAAAAAAAAAAATTAGATGGTGGCACATGCCTGTAGTCCCACCTACTTGAGAAGCTGAGGCATGAGAATCACTTGAACCCAGGAGGCGGAGGTTGCAGTGAGCTGAGATTGCACCACTGCACAACAACCTGGTCAACAGAGTAAGACGCTGCCTCAAAAAAAAAAAAAAAAAAAAAAAGGTTAAGAGTGTATAAGTTATAAGGATAAATTAATAGATGTGTGGGGAGGGCATGCCCAAATGTGTCACCATAATGAGAGTAGTCAAACATTTCAGGGAAAATGAAGAAAAAGGCTCGCGTTTCATTTCTGGGTCAGTGTAATGTAGAGAAGAGAAGAGCTACAGGAGGTAAGATGTGAATGCCAACTGGGTTGCATAAAAAGGAAAATAAAAATGGAGGAACTTAAAGGTACTGAACCTTACATTTGGAAGTTTGACAATCCAGACCTGATGCTAAATACAACGCTTCTGTTAAACTCCACCTTTACATCAGTTACGCCCCATCTAATCCTCTCCTCGGAAAAAGGCGTTTGACAGGCAAAGAAACTGATGCTCAGAGAGGCTAAGTGACTTGTCCACAGCTACACATTGCTAAGTGGCATAGCTGGGATCAACCCATGTCTTCCTGAGTCCAGGGACCACATATTTTCTACAACACTCTCTGTCTATTCAAGGCAAATATTAGCCAAAATTTCCTTTCCAGAAATTAGTCATACTAATAACTACAATATATTGCTTAAAGTACCTGATTTCAGACTAAATATCCTTGTTGTTGAGTTTACAATAACATCTACCTTTTCTTCAGTTATATCTCCAGTAGCAACCTGAAAAGTAATTGCACCAATTTTCATTTCATATGCTGTGAACCAAGGATTAGAGACAGTCCCCAAGGTACCTGCAAAGAAAGAAAATGGATAAAGAATGGGCTGCTGGCTCAGCTCCCAGAGGAAGAGCACACATCTTGCAGCCCTTCTCTTCCCAGCCCAACCCTCTTTCTTTTCCCTCAACATAAACCCAAATATTACCATGTCTCCTGGCCTCTTAAACAGCTAGGTTTTCTTTTTTAAGGAAATAATACTTTGTGACACTAGGAGTATCTACATTTTCTGAATTATATAGGATGAGGCAGAAATATCTGATTGTACCTCTCTGTCTACTGACAAGAGCTGCTGTGGTGTCAAGAGAGAGGAGTGAGAGAATAAGGGAATGTGCCAAGGGCACTGTCATGTCTTGCAGACAACACTGCTAGGAGAGTCTTTTATTACCACAGGTGTAGCAATATAAAGGCTGCTCTGAAATCGCAGCACTTTGGGAGGCTGAGATGGGGGAGATCACTTGAGGTCATGAGTTTGAGGCCAGCCTGGCCAACATGGTGAAACCCTGTCTATTAAAAATACAGAAAAATTAGCTAGGTGTGGTGGTGTACACCTATCATCCCAGCTACTTGAGACTGAAGCAGGAGGATCACTTGAACCCAGGGGGCAGAGGTTGTAGTGAGCCGAGATCATGCCACTACACTCCATCCTTGGTGACAAAGCTAGATGCCATCTCAAAAAAAAAAAAAAAAAAAAGGCTGCTCAGAGGAAGTTACCTTTATCCTTTTGGCATATTACTCTCCATCCCACACTCTGAGGCCAACAACTTAGATGTGCCACTTCAGCTCATCCCTTAAACCTTTTAGATCTACATTTTGACATTTTTACAGTGGCAACAGAACCAACTGCCATGGGGCCACTGCACACATTAAATAATATACTATATATGAAAGCAATTAGTAAAGTATAGTGTGCCGGGCACAGGTTAGTTATTTTTTTATTACCATTTCTTAGAAACTCTGGTTTCGTTACCATTGATTTGGTTCATGTTACTGTATGATTGCTTCTTCGTGTGGCCAGACAATAGGATGTGCTCTAACACCTCCTCCAGCACTGATTTGTTGTTCATGTTCTTCCTGTGAATTAGCTTTGCCTCCTTCTAGTAGACTTCAACTACCACTGAAGAGTTGCTAAGCAAAAGGAAATATTTCCTTAGCGGAACGACTTTACCAGATACCTTGGGTATCTCCAGCCACGGGAATCCTGGCTTTGTTGGGATTTCTTCTTGACCATTTTGTGAATTCATCTAAAAATGCCTGGAAATAGAAACAGTTACTGACCACAACGATGTTGTGTAGAAATATTAATCCAATTCTTTGGAGCACTCATCATCAGATACCAAAGAATAACAATAGTTTCCAAAAGATTTCCCCTTCCCTCAGAGACTTCTTAAAGGATTACAGTTCAACCTGGGGATTTTCTCAACAACTAGTGGGGCTGATTTACTTTATTTTTGTGAGTAAACTAACACTATCCAGGCAAGTATGTCAGGAGGGATGCTGACACACTGGGAGTCAGGTATTGGAAGGGTTCCTTTATGAAGGCTTTCTAGCCAATGGCTAAATTAGGGACCACAAGGACCTGTAAAAGAACCAGTTTTTCCATTTTAGGGTCACAAAGACCCATCTTCTTATACTTGCTCTGCAGGAAGTCACATGGCTTTTTTGTAACCACTATCAGTTATCCCTCATCTTTCGAAGCCCCGTAATTCTAATCTCTTATATCCACTGTGCTTTGGTAGAATGTTTGTAGGTGAGCAGGGGGCTGGGCAACAATGTTCCTTGCAATCTTTGGCTGTTAGGTACATTCTGGGGTTGATTAACAACAAATACATATAGTACGCTTCATCTCTATGTCCAGTCAAAGCCTCCTGAATGAAAGTACTAAAATCTACATTAGAAAACAACATACATTGAAATTTTCTTTAGAAATGGAAAAACAAAAAGGCTTTTTGGTCATGTGAGTGATAAAATTGAGCAATGGGTGACAGAGGAGTTATAGAGTTTCACTTGGGTTGTCTTCATCCATTTTCATTCTTTTCAGGTATCTTTGGGACTGTTTCTACTTTGTTGTTGTTGTTGTTGTTGTTTGTTTAGATTGGGTCTCATTCTGTCACCCAGGCTAGAGTGTAGTAGCATGATCTTGGCTCACTGCAGCCTCAACACCCTGGGCTCAAGTGATCCTCCCACCTCAGCCTCCCAAGTAACTGGGACTACAGATGTGCACCACCACACCTGGCAATTTTTTATAGACATGAAATTTTGCCAGGATGCCCCGGGTGGTCTTGAACTCCTGGGCTCAAGCAATCCCCCCGCCTCACCCTCCCAAAGTGCTGGGATTATAGGCATGAGTCACTGCACCAGCCCATATTTCTAATTCTTAGTTAACAATGAAATTTGGGGCAGTTACTTTCCAGATTGCTACTGGAGATGCCACTCCAATAAAGGGCAGATGTTATTGTGAACTCAACAAGGACATAGATATCATGAACATTTTGCTAATAATAATTTTCCCCAAGTTTATCTTTGAGCAAAAACATATGTCTCTGGATATTTTATATTTACTGGGGGAAAGAAAACTAAAACTTTGGGGAGTAAATGTTACTTTTTGAACTATTATTATTATTTTTTTTATTATTTAAAATGGAGTCTTGCTCTGTAGCCCAGGCTGGAATGCAGTGGCAACGATCTCAGCTCACTGCAACCTCTGCCTCCCGGATCCCAGTTCAAGCAATTCTCCGATCTCAGCCTCCCAAGTAGCTGGGATTACAGGCACAAGCCACCATGCCCAGCTAATTTTTGTATTTTTTCGTAGAGATGGGGTTTCACCATGTTGGCCAGTCTGGTCTTGAACTCCTGATCTCGTGATCCACCCACCTTGGCCTCCCAAAGTGCTGGGATTACAGGCCTGAGCCACTGCACCCGGCCTAAACTATTATTATTATTATTTCCTGTGGACAAATTTACTTACAAACTGTATCATGCAATATTTTGGAGTGTCTCTGGGGAACTTTGGGAAACATCTCTGGGAAGACCACACTTCCATCCAGAATGGGCAAGAATAACTAAGAACTTAAAAAACAAAATTATCTTTGGTCCTGTTTAAGTGCTAATGTTAGTTGTAGCAATTGCCTGTCAGTCCTTAAAGTCAGATAATGACTACTACCAGCTTTGAGGTTTGCTATGTGCTACATATCATGCAAAATACTTCAAATACACCTCTTTAAATACAACAACTCCAAAAGGTGTTATTGCAACACTCATCTTACGCTTGATAAAACTGAGATTCAGACTCGGTGCAGTAGCTCACACCTGTAATCCCAGCACTTTAGGAGGCCAAGGTGAGTGGATCACCTGAGTCACGAGTTTGAGACCAGCCTGACCAACATGGAGAAACCCCATTTCTACTAATAATACAAAAATTAGCTGAGCATGGTAGCCCATGCCTGTAATCCCAGTTACTAGGGAGGCTAACGTGGGAAGATTGCTTGAACCTAGGAGGTGAAGGCTGCAGTGAGCCGAGATGGTGCCACTGCAGTCCAACCTGGGCGACTGTCTTTTTTTTTTTTTTTTTTTTTTTTTTGAGACGGAGTTTCACTCTTGTTACCCAGGCTGGAGTGCAATGGCGCGATCTCAGCTCACCGCAACCTCCCCCTCCTGGGTTCAGGCAATTCTCCTGCCTCAGCCTCTAGAGTAGCTGGGATTACAGGCACATGCCACCATGCCCAGCTAATTTTTTGTATTTTTAAGAGAGCAGAGACGGGGTTTCACCACGTTGACCAGGATGGTCTTGATCTCTTGACCTTTTGATCCGTCCACCTCGGCCTCCCAAAGTGCTAGGATTACAGGCTTGAGCCACTGCGTCCAGCCGAGACTGTCTTAAAAAGCAAGCAAACACACAAACAAACAAGAAACCCTCAGATTCAGAGAGGTATGCCACCAACTTTTAAATGGCAAAACTGAGATTAAACCTAGTTATACCATTCTTCTAATGTCAGTGGGAACTACTTAATAAGTGTGCTTTGACTGCTTCTCCACTGCTGAATATGGCGCTGCTATTGCTAGTTTGTAGACACGCATAGACATGTGTAGACTGGTCTATTCTATCCAAATAACTAAATTCTTGAGGCTTCTCTTATTCTGCCCTTTCCCCATAGATAAAGACAGGACTTAGCTTTCACATAGTCAGTGTTAAAATGTCTAGGCCATTTTTATACCAATAACTTTCCACTTCTGCCTAAGAATATATTTATTATAGATTAGCTTATCTCTTGATGAACCGTCTAGAAAGAACTACATGAGTTATGAGTGTTGGCTTATAGCTAAATCATATGACAACCTCCCATTAGCAACCATCACTTAAGGACACAGGAGTAGAAAACATGGTTATTCATAGATCTGATTGCTTTTGGATTCACTTGCCAGAATAACCAGATGGGATATGTAACCATACCTGATAGCCTTCATCATCATCTGCATGTACCAGAAAGTGGACTTCTTGTAAAGTTTTCGGCCTTGCTCTGCTACTGTATTTGAACACTTCTGAAAGGATTAGTTTAGCAAAAACAGCTTTGGGAAACTGCAAATTTCCTGTTCCAATCAGGGGAAATGTAATTGATGAGAAAGACAGCTGTTCTACGGTTGTCAAACATTTCTCGATTATATTTGCCATGATCTGAAATATGCAAAGTACATTTACATAAGTTAGAGCTTAAGCTGGTGGAAAACAGAGTTGTGGTCCCAGCAACTCTGACAAGAACCTCTCTGCTATTGTTGGCTTAGTCATGGCCTGCAAAGTCAGAAAGCGGGGGAAAAAACAGGGCAGAGTAGCCGGGCGCGGTGGCTCAAGCCTGTAATCCCAGCACTTTGGGAGGCCGAGGCGGGTGGATCACGAGGTCGAGAGATCGAGACCATCCTGGTCAACATGGTGAAACCCCGTCTCTACTAAAAAAAAAAAAATACAAAAAACTAGCTGGGATTGGTGGCGCGTGCCTGTAATCCCACCTACTTAGGAGGCTGAGGCAGGAGAATTGCCTGAGCCCAGGAGGCGGAGGTTGTGGTGAGCCGAGATCATGCCATTGCACTCCAGCCTGGGTAACAAGAGCGAAACTCCATCTCAAATAAAAAAACAAAACAAAACAAAACAGGGCAGAGTACTTTCCAGAGAGAGTCAAACTCATTCAGGAGGGGCAGGTCCAACAGTGTGAGAATGGCTGGATAAAAATGGCACCTCAATGCAACTAAAAGTGATGCCTTTGAAGAGTTTTTAACAACATGCAGTATTTATGTTAAGTTAAAAATAAGTATTAAAAAATGTTTAAAGAGAGAATATCAGGTCTAATATGGTGCTTCACACCTGTAATCCCAGCACTTTGGGAGGCTGAGGCAGGCAGATTGAGCCCTTGAGTTCAAGACCAGCCTGGGAAACATGGTGAAAGCCCATGTTTCCTAAAAATACAAAATTAGCTGGGCATAGTGGTGCATGCCTGTAGTCTCAACCACTCAAGAGGCTGAGGTGGGAGGATCACCTGAACCCAGGAGGCAGAGGCTGCAGTGAACTGAGATCACACCACTGCACTCCAGCCTGAGTGAGAGACTGAGACCCTGTTTCAAAAAAAGAAAAAAAGAAAAAAGAAAGAAAAAAAGAGAATCTCAACTAAGAAATAAATATTAAGACCAGGCATGGTGGCTCATACCTGCAATCCCAGCACTTTGGGAGGCTAAGGCAGGTAGATCACTTGAGGTCAGGTGTTTAAGGCAGGCAGCTCACTAGAGGTCAGCCTGGCCAACATGGTGAAACCCCATCTCTACTAAAAATACAAAAATTAGCTGGGCCCAGTGGCAGGCACCTATAATTCCAGCTACTTAGGAGGCTGAGCAGGAGAATCACTTGAACCCGGGAGGTGGAGAAGAGGTTACAGTGAGCCAAGATAGTGCCACTGCACCCCAGCCTGGCTGACAGAGAAAGACTGTGTCTCAAAAAGAAGAAGAAGAAAAAAAAAGTTATCTCTTGGTGGTTGGATTATTATTTTTATTGTCTTTTTGTGCTTTTCGATATTTTCCACAATGTATTTATATTACTTTTTTACATTCAGAAAAAAAAAGTTGCAAAATTAAACTGGAAGTAGAGGTGGAAATGACATTATCAAAAGAAGGGCACTGACTCTTATTCATCACCAGAGCATCGGGTGCACCTCTTTGCTATACTGAAAGATTATTATGTTACATCTTGGACAATGTTCCTGGAGAATCCCAATGACTGTTGCTACTTCTGAGGGTCAGTTACTCAGAAATAACTGGTAGTTGTGATGGATTCTCCAGGGAATGTAATAAAGATTTCAAAAGATAGACAGGGTTCAATCAATGTGAGGGTCTCACGGCCTAGGGCAGACACTTCTTTGTTGGGGCTGGTGTGTGCATCATAGGATGTTTAGCAGCATCCCTCACCTCTACCCACTAGTACCAGCAGCAGTTGTAACAAGACAACTGCCCTCTGCGGGGCAAAACTGCCTTCCTTGAACACAGCTCTATACCACACCAGAAGGAGATTCCCAAAGCTACCAAATGAAGTGGAGAACTAAGAGCTTTCCCTACCTGCCAAGAAGTCCCTGCTCCATTATCCCAGCCTGGAGCCACCACATGGAGCACAGCTTTGCAGTCCAGATTGCAGCCACTTGTCATGAATATGCTACCCACTTTCTCCTCTGCTTCCTGCCTGGTGGCATCTAACTCTTTCTGGAGCATGGGACCAGCTTTGTGCAAAATTGCCCAAGATAGTGTTCCTCCTCCAAGCTGAAGATTCATGGGAACGGTGTTGACAATGACATCGGCCTTAAAGAAAACAGCAACAGTTACAGATTGAATCAATACACAATGACTGAGCACCTCTAAATTTACTAAGTATTGTGGGGTAATGTACAGGTATGTTTTGCCTATCATACTCACATGTCAGCACTACCCTCAAGGAACTTACAGTCTATTGTTAGCACTGAAACACCATGATGAGGTTACTTCCAAAACTTAGACATTGAGGAAATAGATTAACCATCACTGTGAAATTAACACACAATGAGTCAGAGTAGAACCGTGAAAATGAGTCAGAGACCAGAGGCAGAGAGTCAGAGATGAAGACTAAGAAAGTGAGAAATGGAGAAAGAAGAAAAGTGAAAGTGAAAAACAGGCAGAGATGGACAGAGACAAAAACACAGAAAGATTGAGACAGAGACGAGAAGGGAGAGCAAACTGCTCTTAAGCTGTCAGGAACTGAGAATGCTTGTTTTTAATTTAACAATATACCAAAAGAAAGACTAGGTCAACATGAAGGAGACTATGGTCAGCCCTGAAGGCCTAGGGAAAGGAAAGTCACTATGATAAAGGTACGCAGTGTCCAATCTAGCCTGTCCAGGTAAATCAGGTTCTCCAATGTCAATGCTAAGGCTCTTCCTTTGGTGAGATGAGGGTCATAACCTAATGCCATGAGATGTTACATATTCAACTCATAACTCCTGTTACTCAGATTTTGTGCTCACCAGAAACCTTCTGATTCCCTGCTAATTTGGGATTAGGAGGAGACAAACACCCTGATTATGTGGCTTTTTTTTTTCTTTTTTTCTTTTCTTAAGGCACAGTTTCGATCTGTTCCCCAGGCTAGACCTTGGCTCACTGCAGCCTGTGCCTCAGGTTCAAGCAATTCTCGTGCCTCAGTGTCCGAGTAGCTGGGATTACAGGCATGACCCACCATGCCTGGCTAATTTTTCTATTATTAGTAGAAACAGGGTTTTGCCATGTTGGCCAACTGGTCTCAAACTTCTGGCCTTAAATGACCTGCCCACCTCGGCCTCCCAAAGTGCTGGGATTACTGGCATGAGCCCAGCCTGATCTTTGAATGTCCTGGGTCTTTGTCCTGGATTTTGAATGTCCTGGGTCTTCGGGGGAACTCTTCTTCATTGTAAATTAAAAGATGTCTATGTTTTGGGGACATATAATAGGTTATATTTCTCAATCTAATAATTGGCATTCTTGGGTCCACTTATAATGTTAGCATATGAGGTATTATATGAAGTTATCATAAACCAATCTGAAGATCTGAAAAGCCCCTTGCAGAGACAAGAGTGAGTGAGCCATCCAAGAAACAAAAAGAAACAAAATTAGATCTAGCCCATGTTTTCCTCACTCACACTTGCAGTTACACTCTCTATTTACTGATTCCCACACAGTTCGAGGAAGCAATATATTCACATGTAAAAAAATAGGCCGGACATGGTGATTTCTACCTGTAATCCCAGCATTTTGGGAAGATGAGGCAGGAGGATCACTTTGAACCCTGGAGTTTGAGACGAGCCTGAGCAACTAACACTTAAATGAGTTCAAAATAATCAAAAGACACACTCTGTTAAATATACAAATATTAATTGGTATAAAGCTTCAAAAAAGGTTGGAAACCATTTAGATTGGAATAGTGAGTGAAGGCTTGACAAAGGGGATAAGAATATGAGATAGGCCCTAAAGAATGGCTATAACTGGGTCAGGTAGAAAGAAGGCAGCAAGGCATTCGAGGTGTGTGGAATATTTAAGAAAGCATAGGATTGTGGCCAGGCACAGTGGCTCACACCTGTAATCCCAGGACTTTGGGAGGCCGAGGCAGGAGAATCGCTTGAACCCAGGAGGCAGAGGTTGCAGTGAGCTGAGATCACACCACTGCACTCCAGTGAGACTCCATCTCAAAGAAAGAAAAGATAGCAAGAAAGCATAGGATTGTGAAATATCAGAAAGTAGTCAAATTTAGCTAAAGCAGAGGTTCAATAGTGAGAAGAGGGGCTGGGAAGAGATCTAGGGCCAGATGATAGAGTACTTGGAAAGCCACACATTTTTGGATTTTGCCCTATAGGTAGTAGGAACACACTGAAGATGTGTGTGCAGAGAAGTACCTGTTAAAATAATGTTTTTGGAATATATATCAGTGACAGAGAGGACAGGTAAAAGAGTGACAAGGGAGCCAGGGTAGTGCTAAGGTGTGATTGGGGGTTGGGGGTGGTGTGTACTGAAATACGGGTAGACAACGGCAATGAAAAGGAAAGGCATGTACATGAGGTATTTTGAAAGGGGGCTTATTAGGGCTTGGAAACTAACTAGATAGGAAAAAGAATTCAGAGAAAAAAGATGAAGAGGATTCCAAAGTTTATACAGCACCATCCAATGGTGTGAGAATAGGTAAACCCCAACATAAAATTTATGTTGTGAGTTGACATAAAATTTATAATCAACTCAGTGGACTGCGTAATGAAAAGACCTTGGTTTCTTCATCTATAAAATGTGGGTAAGTAATATATATCTTAATTAGGTTGAGTACTAATTGGGTAAGGTAAAATATAAAGTGGCCCATCATATGGGGGATAATGATAACAGCTGTCATTTTTTTGAGTCCTTACTATGTGCAAGGCAAGGGATAAGTACTTTATATTAATTATTTCATTAAACCTCATAACAACCTTCAGATCATCATCATTCATATTTATAGATAAGAACCCGGAGACATAAGATGGATATTGACCAAGATCAGTGGCTGTTCAGTGGTGGAACTTGAACTCTGCCAGAACTGGCTTTAGAGTTTGTCTGCTTACTCACAACATTATGCCTACAGCTAGAGTGAAAGATAAATTTACTGTACTTTTATATCATCCAGTTCTTCTGGTGATATTACTCACCAATCACTCTCATGATAGTTGCAGAGCTCACTATTACCAGTAGCCATGGCAATTATCTTTTTCATTGCAAATGAAATAATTACAATTCCAGTTTTATAAATAACTCTCTTGAGTTTGATAAGTGCAAGTCAGATAAATTCTGTGTAAAATGATAAGATGCAACTTCTCAACCTGCTGCTTTGAGGACAAGGTCCTGAATCCACGTGACAGAGGACTCTATAAAGTCCATACTCTACTCTAGAGAACATGAAGAAAGCAGCTGGCTGTCTCCCCTCTGCCACCTCCTTAACCACAGCAAATGCAAAGAATATTTCCAGTAGCTCATAATCCAGAAGAATCTCCCAATTTCTCAGCAGTTCTCTTTCTGTTAGTCCAGAATGGCTGCCACCTGAAGGTAAACATCAGGTGTCCAAATCGCGGGGCTATAAAATTCTAAGAAGCATCTGAGCCAGTGATTCTCAGCCCCAGCTACGTAAGATAATCACTTGGAATGCTTTCAGAAACTATTGTCACCTACACCACATCCCTGGTCAATTAAAATCAGGATCTCTAGGGATGGGGTCAAGGCATATGTATTTTTAAAAGGTCCCCCAGATGATTATGATCTGAAGCCAGGATTGAGTATGATGGATGTCAACTATAGAAGGAATATAGAGCCTGTATCTCCTGTTAATTGGTGATTCCAAGAAAGGGGAAGCAATAGGAGAGAAGGGGTAGGCAGGAGCCAGGCTGAGAATTTAGCACCTGTTCTGGTAATCTTTATCCCTCCTCATTCTTCCTGTGTTTCTGCAAAGTCCTCAGGCAGGAGCAAAGGTCTGTGTTTGTGAAGGGTGATTTTATAGTGTGGTGTATGCATATTTTCTTCATTAATGCTGACTGGTACAGGACAGAAAAACAGAACTTGGTTGAGAGTAAGTCAAGATCAGTTACAGAGAAATAAAATCAGTGGATTTGCAAACTCCTGTTTATGGTTAAACTTGAACCCCTCCACATGAGTACATGTGGAAGAATATGGGAGATGGTAAGTATATTTCTGCATAAACTTTAAGTGGGGTTAACTTCTCACACTTACCTTGATATCTTTAATCTTTGATTAAGACAATAAGTTAAATCATGTAACAAGTCACAGAGCAAGTTAATTAGATCCCATTGTTCCTTGGTAGATTTATTAAGTGGCATCACCTACCCAGATGTACAGAACATCTCCACTTATCAACTTGAGGTTCAGATCTTCTTTGGTTTGGATTGAAGCTAGAACATTTCTGACTGAAAAATAATCTTTCTTGCTGAACTCGTCTCTGGACTGTGGAGAAAACAGTAAAGCATTACCAGCAATGCCAATTTCAAGACTTCCCTTAGGCCAGGTGCATGGCTCATGTCTGTAATCCCAGAACTTTGGTGGGAGAATCACTTGAGCCCAGGAGTTCAAGAACAGCCTGGGAAACATATTGAGACCCTGTCTGTACAAAAAATAAATGTAAAAAAAAATCATCCAGGCTCAGTGGCATGAGCCTATAGTCCCCACTACTCAGGAGGCTGAGGTAGGAGGATTGCTTGACCCTGGGAGATCAAGGTGGGAGTGAGCCATGATGGCACCACTGCACTCCAGCCTGGGCAACAAAGCAAGACCCTGTCTCAAAAAAAAATTATAAATAAATAAATACAGGTGTTCGTATAGAAAATAACTGTTACATTTCACAGAATTCTCTAACTCAACTCATAACTCACCTCTGAGATTTAAAAGCAAATAGTTGATTATTATAATGTTTAAGCATCAATTCTATTTAATACCCTAAATGCCAGTGAGCTTTTTTACTCATTCCCCCCAAGAATCCTAGCATAGCCAACCCTGCCTGTATCCCGCAGCCCTTACTATTTAAGTGTACCCTGGACATGTTTCCAACTGTGTTTCTTGCCTGGGGACTTTCTTTAGTGTCAAAGCTCACTTGGCTTGCTGGTATAGCACAGAGGGAGTGCAGGTATATTGAGCTCCCCTCCACAAGCCCCCGCCTACCACCCGCCCTCATCCAGTGATTGACAGGAACTGGCATAAAAATAAGGCAGCAACCTTGCCTCCCAGAGAGATTCGCTATGAGTTTCCCCAGTGGGATTAAGCGGGAGCTGATTTGATGATACACCCTGTCAGTTTCCTTTATTTTATTTTATTTTTTTCCTGAGATGGAGTCTTCCTCTGTTGCCCAGGCTAGAGTGCAGTGGCACAATCTTGGCTCACTGCAACCTCCACCTCCCAGGTTCAAACGATTCTCCTGCCTCAGCCTCCTGAGTAACTGGGATTACAGGTGCACACCACCATGCCCGGCTAATTTTTGTATTTTTTTTTAGTACAGTTGGCGTTTCACCATGTTGGCCAGGCTGGTCTTGAATGCCTAACCTCAAGTGATTCACCCACCTCAGCCTCCCAAAGTGCTGGGATTATAGGCATAAACCACCACACCCAGCCTATTTCCTTTACTTTCTTAGTTAAATAACTTAATGTTGAATCCTGTCTTAGGGTCCCCTTCAGGATGCACTCCAACTAGGACATATCCCTGAGTACTCCATAATAATGCATTGGAGTTTGACTATTAATCAATCATAGAATTTTAGAATTTAAAGGGTTATAACAGATCATCCAAAATAGAAACTTCATTGTCCTGAAAAGGAAACCAGTGTGCAGATGGATGAAGTCATTTGTTCAAAATCAAACTACTAGCTAATGGAGGACACAGTACTTGAATCCAGTCTCTTGACACTCAGTTCAGTTCTACTCTTCATGGAATCTGAGCTGATCTACCTAATGGTATTTGTCACACAAATGGTGAAAACATAGTACATGTCACCCCTCTTGCACCTGTGACAGACATTACTAATCTATATTAGCATTCTTTTTCAATCAACCTAGATCCAGTCTCAGACTCTTCCTCAGCACAGAGCTCCAGGCAACAACTATCATTTAGTCAGAGGTAATCCATGAAACAAAGCCTATTTTCCATGCCTGATCTCACTCAAAAAGGATATCAGTTTTCTTTATTTAAAACTGTCCTTGATTATTTTTCACTCTCTGCCTTGGCAGCGGGTTTCTGGGCAATACTTTCACTTGCTCAAGAATTTCATGATTTGTTAGTCTTCTGCATGCAGGCTGGTATGTTGGATGAAAGTTTTATCAGTGATCTCCCACAAGAATTCCTTCGATAAAAGGCTTTTGAAGCATTGATGTGAAGACTAGAAAACCTCCCAAAAGAACTAGCCACATTCTCTGTCATATTTTGGCTTTCCTTTTTATGTTTTGGTTGATGCTTTCTCTTATTGTCTTTAATTGTGTTATATCCCTTCACATCCTCCAAGCAACCAGTTAATATTGTGATAGCCTAATTCATGCTAGCCCAACTGACTTCATCTTAGCTGTGAGCCAGATAGGCTCCATCTTAGCTTCTCCGCCATTTCTCCCACCATGTCTCCCTCAGGTGCATAACTGGGTCATGCTGACGCTGTGCTTATCCTACCATATAAACATTGTAACCATATCCTGCTTGGCAAGCACACCTGCTATTGTGAATACTCCACCTTGGACCCCCTTGGTGATTGGAAAATACCCTGGCCTGCAACCACGTCCCTCTAACCCGCTCATTCTGCTTCTGTAAAATTCCACTTCAGCTAGGCTCCCCCTCCCCTACCCTAATCAAGGTATAAAAAGGAGTCAAGCCCCTGCCTGGAGGCTGAGAGAATCTTGAGCATTAGCCATCTCTCGGTCGCTGGCAATAAAGGACTCCTGATTCAATCTCAGAGTGTGCTTTCTCTATAACTCGCTCAGTTACAACAGTATGACCATCTCCTTGAACATATCAAACTCAATCAAAATCCTATCATCCTCTACACTGTTTTTTATGTAATCCCATACAGGCTTCACACTCAATTGGGTGACTTGATATTTAGACACAATGGAGAATTTTTTAGAAGCATGTTATCTACAGGTCTTGACCTTGATGTTTTTCGGTCTTCCTTGAGTGAGCTGGGTGGTTGCAGACCTGCGTGTTACCTCCAACCCCTTGTGACTGCCTTGCAATCATGTTACCTCACAGTGAAAACTTCTCATCTTGTGATGTGTCATTCTGATTAGGTGATGCATTTTAGGCAAGAACTTCCATATGTGAGGATCCAGGGCCAGCAGGAATGGTGCTGACAACATTTTCAGGGACTTTTCCCCTTGATACAAGGCTGTGCCCCAAAACACATAATACTGGGACACAGAAATGGGCCTTTCATTGAAAACCCAAACTTTTTGGCCAAGTAGGTGTCCACCACTAAAAATAAAAATAAAGGGTAGGTGTCATTCAGACAAAACCACATGGTAATATTTTAAAGAGTAAAAGGTACCTCTAGCACATAAATCCTGACACTCATGAGATTGAAATCGAGTGTCTTCTTAAAACGACACCACTGTCAACAGCGCAGTGAAAGATGTGATATTCGTAAATGCAATGGAGTTAATCCTCACCTAATGGAACAGATCTATTCCATACATGTTTACTTAGCCGTAAAGTTTTATCACATTGATCTGATTTTCCCATGGACATTCACTGTAATATTGAAAAGGTAATTCTTTTCCTGACAAAGTCTTGCTCTTAGAGATTCAATAAATACAAGCAACAATGCATGAGCAATTCAAAATAACCTATTTGAAGTTAGATCATTACCATTTTTAAAGGAATGGTTATAATAGTCAAAAATATTAGAAACAATTATGTGCTATAATTGAAAGATGTCATAAAATTAGGTCAGATTCCCTAGCAACAAAGCCTGAGTTTGGGATGCATATGCAAGTGATTTATTAAGGTTGTGCCCTCAGGAGAAACCTGTAGGAAGTGAGAGATGAAGTTGGAGAAGGGGAAGAAGCTAAGCTAGAATGTGTCTTTAGGTTTACCCTAGTTCCTGCCTGATCCCCCAGGGAGCTCTGGAGTGTATAACTTCCTTAAGAGCATTTGTCCCTCTAAGGGGCAAGGGAGTTCAGTTCTTCTACCTCCATACAGTCAGTTATTGTCTACAGACCATCTGATCAGGAGATGAAGGTCAACTCCCAGGGACCTCTAGAGAGGCACCTTTAGTCTCCCAAAGGCAATCCCAATTGGGATTGTTGCAAGTGTGAGTCCTTAACAGTAATATAGTCAATAAGCAACTGGCTTATGAATGCACCTGATAAGTAAAAGAGACCAAGCCCAGGGCATCTGGGAGAGGTACAAAAGAAAAGAAAGACCACTAAGGCAAGTCCAAAGAATAACTGCACAAGTTTGAGAGAAAGAGAATGTGGCTCAGCAGCTAAGTCATATAAAAACATCTAAGGCATCCTGCTTGGCAGTAAACTCAGTACAAATCAACAGTAATATAGCTCTGTTTAAGAAAGGAAAACAGGGCCACCAAATGCTGGCAAGGATGTGGAGCAGCAGGAACACTCATTCATTGCTGGTGGGAATGCAAAATGCTACAGCCACGTTGGAAGACAGGCAGTTTTTTACAAAACTAAACATACTCTTTCCATATGATTTGGCAATTGCATTACTTGGTATTTACCCAAATAAATTGAAAATTTTTGTTTACTTAAAACCTGCACATGAATGTTTCTGGAAGCAATATAGCTTTATTCATAACTGCCAAAACTTGGAAGCAACCAAGATGTCCTTCTGCAAGTGAATGGAGAAATAAACTGTAGTATCCCATACTATTATTTAGCACTAAAAAGAAAAAAAAACTGAGTCATCAGGTCACACACACACACAAACACACACACACAAAGGAAGAAACTTAAATGCAGATTCCTAGGTGAAGAAGTCAGTCTGAAAACTACATCCTGTATTATTTAACCATATGACATTCTGGAAAAGGCAAAACTACAGAGACAGTAAACAGATTAGTGGTTGGCAGAGATTTGGGAGAAGGAGAGGGGGATGAATAGGTGGAGCACAGGGAATTTTCAGGGCAGTGAAACTACTCTGTGTGATTGTAATGATGGACACATGATATTATGCATTTGTCAAAAATAATGGATCAGGCCAGGATGGTGGCTCACGCCTGTAATCCCAGCACTATGGGAGACCAAGGTGAGTGGATCACCTGAGCCAGGAGTTCGAGACCAGCCTGGTCAACATGGTGAAACCCTGTCTCTACTAAAAATATAAAAATTAGCTGGGTATAGTGGCAGTCCCAGCTACTCGGGAGGCTGAGGCAGAAGAATTGCTTGAACCCAGGAGGCAGAGGCTACAGTGAGCTGAGATGGTGCCACTGCACCCCAACCCAGGTGACAGAGTGAGA